CTCTCCACCCTCCTCGCCACCGCCAGACAAGTCTCCGGTAAACAAGAACAACACACCGCCGCCGACGACGCAGACGAGAGCTTCATCCTCAGACCCATGAACCGCAACCTTCTGGGTCTAAAAAAGGAAAAGCTCAGCCACTTCCGTCTCTACTGGCACGACATTCTCAGCACCCGAAACCCAACATCCGTAACCGTCGTTCCTCCCGTCAACACCTCTTCGTCGTCTTCTCCGTACACGGCTTTCGGCCAAGTGAACATGATCGACAACCCGCTGACGTTGGGTCCGGATCTGAGGTCTAAAATGGTGGGTCGGGCTCAAGGGTTTTACGCGTTGGCGTCGAAAGAGGAGATAGGTCTGTTAATGGCGATGAACTTTGCTTTCACGGAAGGGAAATATAACGGGAGCTCCATTACTGTGATGGGGAGAAATCCAGTGTTTTCCAAAGTTAGGGAGATGCCGATTGTAGGAGGAAGCGGACTGTTTAGGTTTGCTCGGGGTTATGTTCAGGCTAAAACGCAGCGTTTTGATCCTACAAATGGGGATGCTACTGTGGAATATAATGTTTACGTTTTGCATTATTAAGTAATTAGAAGTTTGCTTTTTGCTTCTCTTAGTATTCTTGAATAAGTCCTTATAACCTATGCTTATATAAACTTTATAAGTTTTTGAAAATAAAAATGAAATGAAATATGTTCTTATTACAAAAATCAAATATAATATTTATATATTTATCAATTATAAATATATACATATATATATATATATACACACGAAAACACAACTTAATTTGAATATAATGTCTCTTAAATATAAATAAACGATACTAATTATTAAGTTAAGTAGTAATTAATTATTTATTAATTATATTAAGTAATTTTACGAATAAAATAAAATAGTTTATTATTAAAATATTATTATTTTTCATTTATTTTCAATTGGAAAATAGTAGAAAAAAATAACAAAAAAGTAGACAATTGTGAAAGAAATTTGAAAATTTGACAATAATGTGGAAAATTGAATAATTTCACTTGGAAAAAAGTGAGTGGAGTGTTAGAATTTGAGACCTAGGAATTTCAATTTCATATACATATATACATATATATATATATATAAATTTTAATAAAAATATTAATATTCAACAATTGTAGAATAACTAATTTATAATATTTTATTTAAATTAAAATTTTAATTTATTAATATATTATTAAAATTATAATCACCGAGTTAAATTTTTAATAAATTTTCTTATATTTATGAAAAAAAATATTTATAATAATTAATTAAATATTAATTCCTTTGTTTTGGAAAAATAATATTTATTTATTATTAAATTTTTTAAATTAAATTAATTATAAACATTTTTTCTCAAGAAATAAAATAAAATTAGAGAAAAGTGAAGTCTAAGCATATGAAATAAACTTTTTACTCTAAGAAAATATATTAATATTTTACGACCCGCATGGTCATGTAATTATTAAAAGGTGAAGGCGTGCACCGGTTTGCTTGCAATTTCAGTTTTGGTTGCTATAAATACATACATATATATATATATAATATTAAAAATTAAATTAAACTAAATCTAAAAAATAATAAGCAAACTTGTATTAAATCAAATAATATGAATATGGAAGCGTAACTAAATTTATAACAAAAAAATTTTCGTGTTAACTGTTTTTTATATTATTTATTTTTGTTATTTTTTATTTTAACAATTATAAAATGAAAAATTATAAATATAGTATTTGCGCATATTATAAACTCACACTTAAATCTGATGTATTAAGGTTCGTGTAACGACCCCGGAAATATTAAAATGAAATGAGTATTTAAATATATCAAATGCGGAAGCGAGATCAAAATTTCAGTTAACATCCCTTACACGAAAACCAAAAACGTACTTAAAATGTAAAAGATTAAACTAACTAAAAGAGAAACTCGAAAATAAAGCTACGAGTATGACTACAGAGTCTCTAGGCATCCCTTTCGTCCTCCTCCTGCGGAACGGGCTCGGGAACCATGTCTTCCTGATCTGAAATAGTTAAATAAGGAGTGAGCTACACTAGCCCAGTAAGAACATCACGATATCTCACCGTCACGGAGGTAAAGGCGGGTAGAAAACACAAAAAAGACCAATGGAGCATAATTTGCAACAAATCCTTTTATTTATGATAAAACCTTTTATCATCCACTTACCTCGGTAGAATTCATAAAACATTATACGAAAAACAATAACATTATCATAATCATGGAACAATATAAGCTGTAAAACATAACACTTATCATGCCTCTTGTAATTCAATCATTATACAACATATCTTTTTCTCATTTACCAGCCTACTAGTATCCGTGGGGGTCCATAGGGGTCCCACTACCCGTTAACCTTTAACATTCATAATCAGTTTCCAGGGCCGTCCCCATACCCCGTCCGGTATGGGCACCAAAACCATAAACCTCAATACCCCGTCCGGTATGAGGGTGAAACGGACCGTCCCCATACCCCGTCCGGCATGTGAGACCACAATCCCGGTAGGGTTCCCTACGGACCCGGTCCGTCCACCATCTCCCAGGATATCTAGTCAGGCTGACCCCATAATACAATTATCGGTCTACACAATCTTTTATTTTCCTTTTCCTCAGTCAGCATCATCAATTCACATTTAAACAAGCAAATCGTAATTCATGCCAAACAGACAACATACAGTATCAGTTTTTCAGTCATTCAACCCATAATAAATAAAAACGTAGTATATGCACACAAATCTGTAAAATAAACACATCAAACCTCATTTTGCATTTAAAGCAGTAAACAGGCCAAATAACAGTAAATCACCAATCACATTAGACTCGAGCTCCATTAGCCACCTTAAGCAATTTCACACATTCGTTAATTCAAGAAATACCGTTTTATCATTTTGAACTTTAATACCGTGATAGGAAATAGGGTGAGGGGTCCTTACTTGTTTTCGGGATTCGAATTACGATTCACAGTGCGCCTACAGGCCGTCCCTAATTTTCCCTGAATTTTTTCCTGGGGAACTGAAACACACTAACGGTACCTGCACGTGTTCCAAAAAATCTCAAATTAGGCTCAGGGCCCCTTTTTGGCCAATATCGCAACTCCGGCACGGCGGCTCCGCCGTGCTCCGGCGACGGCGCCGCCGCTGGCGGCGGCAAGTCGCCTCGGGTTGG